CCATCCATCCCAGGAGCCATAATTTTACTTCTCCTTCTCCTCCTGTTGCACAGTCCCTCTGGGCCTTCTGTTTGAGTGGCCATAGATCATAACTGACATGGGAAACAGTCCAACTAAGACCTTTGCAGAGCTGAAATCAAAATGTCTTTCCCTGATTTGGGCCACAAATAGGTTTTCTTGGTACCTTTCTATAGAAGAAACTCTTAATGAATGGGAAATGGATTGGGGAGTTGGATGTCTGAGTGTCTGGTTACCTATGCAAATGTTAAATCTTTGTAATATCTAGAATATTGGCTTTGAACAGAGGACTGGATTAGATGCAGGTCATTTAAAAGCCAACTGAGTTCCATCATTGGCTTAATTAAAGGCAAGGGTGAGGTTAGCTTTTCAGGCTAAAACAAAAATCCAGTCATTAGCAGGAGATGAAAGCATGCTAAAAAGTTAGTCTCAGGATTCAACCCTTGACACAAGACTCTTAATCCTATATACACTAAGAAGATGCCTGTGCTCTCGCAACATACCATCCAGAAATGCATCAGAACAGAATTTAACGTAAAGCTCTACCCCAAGACAATAGCTGGACACCCACAGGACTTTAACCAACTGCCCCGCCAGATTTTAGCCAAATTTAGCATGCTCTGTGAACAGGGCCTCTGCGTTTTGCTTTCCTTTTCAGCACTTCCCCTTAGAGGTGGCTACAGGAAGTTGTGTGCAGTGGGTCTGAAAGAGGTAGGGTGGAAATGAACCCTTCCCATGCTTAGTCCATGGCAGGCTGCAACTGATCTGATCACGACAGAGTCCCCCCCCGCCCCCCAATGACTGGTCAAAAGATGAAATAAAGGCCAACAGTGCCAACCCTCAGTCAAAATGGGGAGTGATAGTCATTGGGCCTCTGCAAAGGAGGCTGGGCACAGTGTTCAGGTTATAACCACTGGGGCAGTTCTGGTGCCAGGATGGGAAGGCTAACCTACCTTACCCTTGCAACCATTACAAAACAAACAGGCCTTCTCATATGCCAGACACCATTGTCTTAGTGGCTCCTTTTATCTTTCTCATACTGCATAGTAGACTTTTTAGCTCTTTCTTATCTGGTGATAAAATGCTTTATTTTCCCCAAATTTGTATTGATAATGAATTAACAGCAGCTACTTCACTTATCTTTGGCTCATTATCCTTCAGAAGACAGGCCTTTTTATGGATGATAATGGGCAAAAGAAAATGGAACAGAAAGAACTGAAAAGTGAGATCCTGCAAGGAACTCTTCTGAGTGTGAAGATTTTTATCTCATTGAAAATCCTGAAATTAGGGAATGGGCATTGCAAAACATCCAATGATAGATGGTGGAAAAACGAAGCAAAAGGATCTGTAAAGAGATTCTAAGGGATCTCCAGAATGGATGGAAAGGCAGTAACGTAAGCAAAAGGATACATGTTGAGGCTAAATATTTTAATTGTATAGCTCTGTGTAGAAACTGAGGTATGATAATGATTGGCCCACAAGGGCATCTTAGGTGCAAAGGATTCAGTGAAAGTGTGCATCCTGAAACAAGCCCAAATGCTGTAGCAGGAATAAGGGGGCTTTAAATGAGCTGGAAGGGAAAGAGGCAAGGCACAGTGACATTCTTGTGCAAATGAACAAATTATGCAATTTGCCTCTTTTGTACCTGGATGCAAATGCCAGGCTGCGTCTGAGGGATCTGCATCTATCTCACAGGTGTTTTTGTTTTAAATAACATGAAAGATGCTAAAACATCCCTCTCTAGGGCAGGGTAGTTAACAAGGGTCAATTCTTCCTTCACACGTACATAACCACACCTCATATTTTCGCAGCTGAAATCTCCTCGATTCATAGACTGTTTTCTCTATGTGGCAGAACATTTCAGCCTGTAGAATTAAGAATGGCTTATGAGTTATGAGCAAGACAGCTTCATCTTCCCTCCCTCCCTCCTTTTCATGGAAGAGTCTTGCATCCCTGGTTGGACCCTGGTAGAATATTTGTTAGAAGATGGGGAAATGTTAAGACATGCAAACGTTGGTGGAAAAAAGCAGTTGCTAGAATGTGACCCTTTGCAAAGAATTGAATGGTTGGTTGAAAGAAGCAAAACTGACAATGTATAAAGAGCAAAACATCAGAGGAATACTGGTAGCATCTTTTCTGACTGAAACATTTTATAAAAAGGCATACAGGTTTGCAGCTTATTTGTTAGTTGGAAAAAGTGCTACCAGATGCCTTCTGAGTTTTTGCTATCCTAAACCAAGTTGCCTCTCTTCCTACAATGCCTGTAAGAAGACTAATCCTCTGCCTAATTGGTTATAAGAAAGTGAGAATTGATGTGTCAGGCCCAACATCAAAGTCAAGTTGAAGACCGTGGGAATAGGGTACTTAAGGGAGTATGCAGGAAAACGGAGAGAGAGATCAGGAGTGAATGGGTGCTCAGCGAATATGGATTGAACAGAAAAGTGAGTAATCGGAAGAAATAAGTACATTAAAGTGGCTTGGTCATAGAGAATGGAAGAGGAGCAAAATAAGAAAGGGGGACCCCAAGAAAGTCATTGTAGGGTGGGGTGGGTGAAGTCCTCAGAGAAGTTTAAAGGCAGTGATGGGAGCATGCTACAGAGAGGGACAGCAAACCATGTTTCCATAAACTAGATTTACCAATATTTCCTCCTCCTCCTCCTCTCATGCCTTAAATTTCTGTGGCTTACTATCCCTTTATGGTAACTTTGCCTAAGATTGCTCTCACCCAAGGGAACAGTGTGATGGGTATATTATCTATGTAAAGGGAAGAAATAATTTCTGGATTGAGCAAAGACAAATAGCTAGCATTTTTTTAAAGAAACAAGAAAACCATACATTTTAAACTCTATTGTCTTGTTCTATTTACTTTGAAGCCTGAAAACGTGGCATGGCATCTTACAGCAATCGTTAGGCCACAATGCCTCTTTTTGTTTCAAAGTTCATTTTTAAACTCGGCTATGAATCAGATAAATGCTTGTGAAATCCTACATCCTCTAAAAACTCATCGATGTTGCAACTGTGCATCCTTCTGTCAGAGTGAGCACAATTAAGCATCCCAGAGCTGCCTTCTAAATAAAGATGAATACGTTTGGACTGTAACATACAATGGCTGTAGATAAGCTATTGTTTGAGATCCGCCTCCTCTGCGAATTTGCAAAATGGAGATAATACAGGATTGCAGCAGGGGGCAGGGGGCTTTCATTCCTATTAATCATTGCAGCATAAACAAGGATCTGCAACGAAATGGTTCCATGAAAAATGTTTAAAATTCATGTATTTTAAAATTTATGCATTTTATTATGTATTTCCCAGTCTAGCTAATGGACTCCCAACTCAGTCCTGGTTCTTTTCTCAGCCCAGGCAAACAGATGGATGTATCTGTAGCTATATCTTAAATGTATATACAGTAGGTGTGTCTGTATTAAAAAATTTCTAATATGGCTGCTATTGAGTTTCTCTTAGCAAATCCTATAGGAATTTAAAAGATGTAAATATGTTAAATTCCTAAAATATGGAATTTAGTATATTATGGAGAACTCTGGCTTTACCAAGTCTGGAACTTGGCCAAGAGAATGATTTTATGTAGGAAAGCAATTTATTCCTCTGATGTTGAGATATGTAATTAATTTTTGAAATATTTTTATATTCTGAAAATGAGAAGATGGAACAATATTTTTCTGTATGGCCTAGATTTACTAAGGAGTTTAAAGATTGTACTGACCTTTTATGGATATTATGTACATGGATCTTATTTCTTAGTTTGTTTTTCTCCTCTGTTTTCTTTAATCACTCTAATGTATGTAGTTTTTACCTACATTAAAAGGTTTTCCCCTGTATGAAACTGATGTGATTTTTTGTTAGTTGTGCTTCACTAAGATAAATCTTTCTGAAAAGGAAGTAGTTCCCTTTCCTTTCCTGTGCCACGTTTTTGTTCTAAAGATAATAAAAATCAGCAAAATAAAAGAAAAAAATATCTGACTGATTTTGTTGTAATTTCTTTGGCTTTTATGGGCCACCCTGAGTTGTTGGGAGTTGGGTGGCATGCACGTTCAATAAATCATTATTACTGATGGTCACACAGTTGGCCAGATGTTTAGACTAGATTTGGCATTTTTATCCACCCAAGAAAACTGCACAGATGGCAGAATTAGTTTCCCGTTCCAGGGGCATAAAATTGCAATGGCTCCTCGTGGTGGTGCCAAGTCCATGTTCCTCCTTGCTCCTTCCTTTTGGGGATCCCAGGACGCCACAGCCCTGCACAGCTGGAAAGCTTGCACCCGCTTTACCTCCTTTTGGGTCTCTGTGGGGAAGGGGGGATTCAAAAGCTTCCACATCTGGATTGGACCTCTCCTTTCAGGTGAATGCCTCAGGAGTCTGCACAGATTGCTTTTCTCTCATACCAGTGTTTTTCAAGCTGGGCCACTTTAAGAGGGGTGGACTTCAACTCCCAGAATTCCCCAGCCAGCCATGCTG